CGTAAAGACTTGCTAAATCCCGACTCAAAAAGTCTAATTGACATCCCTAATCAAGATCCTAGAGTTAGGAGGGTCAATTCGATAGCACAAGAATTGTAGTAACAGTAGAGTACTTTAAAACCAATAAACATGTCTATTTTAAAAATTCATTTTTCCTATGCCAAATATGCTTTTAAATCTAAATTGTGTTTATAATTTACGCTGAAAATTACCTTTGAATTAACATCCATATTTAACACTTTGAAGGGCAATGATTATGAACATTTAATTATTTAGGGTGGCAATGTATGATAGGAAAGAGAATTCTAAACATTTTAAGGGGTGCAAATAAGGAGCAATTTTAAAAATTTCTAAACTTAAAACGTAATTTCTTCAAAATTCAGTGAGTGCAAACAGCTCCACCACCTAAAGGGAGGAAGAAGATGGAGCAAGAATGTTCGGAAGATGTCAGTTTTAGTGAATGCCTGAATGGAGTAGCTGATTAGAATTTTAGGAGATTAGCCGCTGGATGGATTTGGGCATTTGGGTTTTCGATGTGCAGGCTTTACATCAAATTATATGGACGTTTTACGAGCTTAATCTTCTTTCCATTTGAATGAAGATTAACAAACTTCATTTTCTTTTCATTGAATGATCTTAAAAGAGCTTAGTACTCTCTCCAATGCAAGACCCTGAACTATTAATTAGTTTGTTGCCATAATGTGCTCATATACTTGTTTTTTGAGGCACATATTATTTTCCAATAATATCTTCAAGTCACAACTCTCTCAAAAAAAAAAAAAGTGACCAAAGATTAAAACAATTTGTATATCAAAAGAATTGTCACATTTTAACTTCATATATATGCCTAAGAAAAAAGGATTCAAAAAAAAAAAAAAAATTCACTGACAACATGTATGTGATAAATTGCACAAGATATGCACGTGCTTAATGTGCATATGCTGCTTGTAACTGTGATTTGGAATTGACGTACTTCTTCTTGGTCTAGGTATATGAAGTTAATTCTTCTTTTTTTTTCCTTAGCAAACTAAATTGTGAGGCATGGGTAAAATTTTGCAGGAAAAAGAATGTGATTCATCCCTAGATAACATTATTTTATCACACTTTAGGATGGAATAAATGCTTTACTAAATTATTTTATTATATAATTTTTGCATATGGGACATGAAAAAAGCAATTTGTAGTTTTGAAGCAGAGCCTAACAACATTTGTAAACTCTAAAGTTCCTTTGCCAAGACCTTCAACAAGATTCATTCTAAAATAAACGAACTTAATGTTCTCTCCAATGCAAAACAAAATAGTGACAGCATGGAATTGAAACGTGCCTTGTTGGTGTAGCTATCTACAATTTTGTTGTTGAATTAATTCGGTCAATTGAAAGCGGGGGATTTGTGAAATTCTAAAGGAAAAAAAGGTGATAAATCTTAGGATTAAGTTGTTATGACACTTTGAAATGTATTAAATTCTTCAATAAAAATTATTTTGTTATACAAAGTCAGCATCCAACGTGAACAAACCCTTCACCTACTTTGTAAATTAAGGAGTTCCACTGCAAAATGCTCAACTACACCCCTAAATAAGTTACCTTAATCTCTCCTGAGCAACAAAAAAAAAAAAAAAAAAATCTTTTGGTAGCAAGATTCTACTCAGTGCTTTTTTTCTTTTTGGTGCTTTATCTTCCACACAGGATATCATCACACTTGGTAGTGTTAAATTCTATCGTTTTGCTGCATAAAATGCACCTCAAAAATCGCAATTTTTTTTCACATTTTGGTGGATCAAATAAAAAAGTTGGGTCAATACTAAAAATTTATATTTTGGTAGCAAGACAAACCTTTTTTTTTTTTTGGGTGCTTCCTCTTCTACATAGGATATCATTAATTCTATTAGTTTGCTGCTTAAAATGACCCTCAAAAAATCACAAATTTGTTTACAGCACCAACAATACAAAAAATGACATCCCCAACTAAAATGCAATGTGTGCCTCCTAACTAATTGATCGCATACAGCCAGCGAGCTCTCATTCTATACAAACCAAATTCTGTGAGGCCCAAAAATGCAGGAATAAACTTATTCTTTTTTCAACATTTTAATATCTCTGGAATGGAAATTATTTTTCAAATTTTTCTTCCTAGCATCCCGGGAAAAAAGACTAGCTATGTATCTTTGATCAACTAAGGAAAATTTTGCCTGTAGATAGCATGGAAATTAGTGCTGCACAATGATACATAAGCCAATTGTTTACATATCTTGCAGTAATATTGTGATCATTGGTTAACGATATGTTTTTGCATTCAAGACTTCGTATTAGAAAACAAAATTTTTAGACAACATCATAATCTGGATTATACATTGTAATTAAAAAATTGAACTATATAAAAAGGAAAACGTATAAATTTCAGCTCCAAAACAACTGATATGCCGACCAAAGATGACAAAATGAATGTGACACGGGAAGGATAATTTATAATTTACTTTTAATTGAATAGTTTGTCCTTGATGATTAGTCTCATAGAGTACAATTATGTATAAATTACTGCACTGTCAGTACATAAAAAGTCAATTCAAATAAAATTATAGCGAATTAGGCATCTAATTATACGTAGCAATTGACAGAGAGCAGAGAGAGAGAGAGAGAGAATAACATACTCAACATTTACATAGTATAGGATATAAACAACATATTTTTATATTCTTTTTTCCTTGTGAATTTGATTTTTATGTTGATACTCGTTCAAGGAACACAAAAGTTTTTTTTTTTTTTAAGATGCTCTTGATAATGATGCCAAGGCTAGATGGTGATCTGGATAAGAAATTTCTTTCACGGAATTGACCAGACTAATTTTCTTTAGAAATGAAGGGCGGGTTTTTCAACAACTGTTTTTTATTCTTGGTTTGGATGGAAAATTATAACTATAGCTTTTGGGGTTGTCAAAATAAGAGAACGTGATTGCCCTGTGAACATCGCATTGCTAAATAACAATAGATTCAATGCACCGATTGATTTGAAATCCGAGCTTATTGTAGAACGAGACCCCAAAGTCTTCATAATACAGTTTAGGTGATAAAATATTGTTCTGCTGCTGTCCAATTCATCAATGGCTTCAGCATTTAATCTTTGATATTAGTATTCAGAAAAGCAATCTCCCATGCATTTTTTAATTCTTCTTCTCACGTCATGAGTTAAATTTTGATGCCTTAAATATGAGTATGCATCTGTGTTGTGTAAAATTCCAGGAATAATTTATTTTTAACATTTAATCTCTTTCATCTTCATCTTCAGTTTCAGATTCATGTACCTTGCTCGATAGTCTTAAGCTTTGACTGTTTCTAAGGAATAGTTATTTTATGGATAAGGCAAATCAGACAAACTCTTGAATACATCTATTTTTTTTTCTATGGCTCCAGACTTAGACCGAGTATCAACTTGGCTGAGTTCAGGAGTTAGGGGTCAATGAGTTCGATCGGATTTAATCGAGCGTCGAATTGGATGACATCATAAATATATATTAATTGTAGGTAATTAAAATTATATATAAAAATTCCCTTTAAATTGGTGGTTTACAACTTGTGTACATATTTGATGAGCTTGGATTTAGTCCAAAAGCAATGCACTTAAAAGTTATAGGTAAATTTGTAGTTTAAAACAAAATATAATGGGTGGATTTTATACTTTTTAAAATAATATGGGGTCAAAATGAAATTATTAGAAAAATTTTGGAGCAACCTACCCAACGTCATGTTAGCCGCCGCCCCAATTCCTTTGCTTTTCACTTTATCCTAGTTCCTTCTTTTTCCTCCCATTCAACGTAACTCTTTTTATGTCCTTCATCCCCACAAATCAAACACACATGAAAACTCTCTCTATCTTTGTTAGTTTCCTTTTTCTCTCCTCTTCCCTTCTTTGCTTTATTCTTTTTTTTCCTTCTATTTGATGTCAAATATTTCAAGAACTAAGTTGTAGGAAATCAAGTTAGAAAATTCAGGGAATGAATTTTTTTCTCTTAATCTGGGTTGTTACTTCGTTTCTCTTGGAGTTAGTCAAAGATCAAAAGATGGAAAAGAAAAATAAAGGGAAGAAGCAGCCAATATGAAGAAGCAAGGATAAATTACCATTAAGGAAACAAGAAGAAAACCGGGATCCTTTCGGTTCTAGCGGTTCTCGGTCAAACTCGAATTTTGATCAGATTTGACCGATTCTTAGATTGATATGGTTTTTCAAAGAGACTCGGACCGAATGCTTGGTAGATTCTCAGTTCAATCGATCGGACCGACCGGTCAATCCGAGTTCAAAAACACTCATTTTTTTTAAAAAAGAAAATATGATTGAGAGACTCCAAGCCTTATAAAAATGACGGGGAAAGAAGAGTTGACAGACAAACCCAAGGATCTCATAATCGTTAACTAATGTTTCTATCCAATACGTGCTTGAGACATGGAGACAAACATATTTGCACTTTGTAGTGTGGTACTTCATGTGTGTTTCTTCCCTAAATTTCTAAGATAAAGAAATATTTATGCATATGTATATTACTTAATTTTTTTCAAGTTTTTGTAAATTAAAAATTGGATCTAGCTTTGTTATTAGGACTTTTTATTCCACATTTTAGGCTAGGAGTTCATTTTTACCGTCTCTGTAGAATCCTAAACTGTCTAATTTGCCTTCTCAGGGCAAAACTTCTAAAAAATGTCTTATATTAACTGACTAATAAGTGAACAAAAAGAAAGGCGAATAATAAAAGGATTAATGAACTTATGTTTACATAGAGTTTTGAGAATGTAAAAATACAACGTTAACTTTGACATATATACATAAAAATACAGTGAAATTAAGTAACTATCAACAGATTTAGATTCTTCAATTTCTTTGAATTTTCCTCTTTTGGCAATGTGCTTTATACTCGGGTTCCTTCTCATTTGCCTTTGTGACTCAAAAGTGGACTACAAATTAGGAAACATGCAAGCTCCTCACCTTCCATTTGATCAAATGAACATTACCCTCACTTTGAATGGATGAGCTTTACAATAGCCAGGCGTATGTTGTTTGCAAGATTCTCTTCTGTCATGGAGAATCCATCATTCATCTACAGCCACGCAGAGAAAAACTTAAGGTAGTAAGTTGAAGTTACAGTATACACCAAATGATGTTGAAGTTACAATGAGCATGAGTTCATAACCAAACTTGACTCAAGCCCTAAAAATTCAATGCCTATTTTTGCCTATGATTCTATAATACAAAGTCATGTCTACACCAAATGATCAAGCTTACAGCGTAGTATGCAATTTGGAAATAACCTTAGAAGGTGAAGCGAAAATACCTTAGCAGCGGCAGATATAGCGAGCAAGTTATCAGCAAATGGCATAAAGCTACTGGTTTCGATAACTAAATCAAGCTTTTCCATCTCATGGAGAAAAGCATCCGTGAATCCAGAGCGTCTTCTGCAGCAGGCTTTAACTAGAACATTCCCTTTTAAGATTCTTACTTCAAGATTTGTCAATGACTGATCAAAGCTAGATAATGAAGCTTCTTGGTGAAAATGAATACATTGTTTTTTCTTATAAACAACTAATTCCTGATCATGCTTCCTATTTCTACCTTCTTCAAACGCCTTCAAGCGCTCCTGGAGTTCTTTCAAGTGTTTGATAGTATCTTCAATGACAGAAGACTTGTCCAACTGCAGACAAAAAATTTTGGAGAGCAGCACAAAAAGAGATAAACACTTGCTACAAGATTTGAAGGGTATTCTTTAGCATATTAATCTCTACCACTATCATTAGGAATGCAAGAACTGTACAACGTTGATGGGCGACTTAAAGCCTCACTTTTTGAATCTAAAGTTTAAAATATAAAAACTTTAGTTTATCTTTTCCATAAGATTTGTAGATAATCGAGCCTTAATGCAAATTTTAAGATACATGAAACTTGCGAGTGGGAATCTAGTAGTCCATATATGTTAAGCCTATTGAAAATTAAATCAGGTAAGACACACGGACATGGTCTAGGTATACAAAAAGCATAATTTTGAGGTAAAGAATGGGAAGTAAGTTAAAATGCCGGTACCTTTTTTAGGCCAGGAACTAGAGCTGACAAACATACGAATCTCTGAGATATCTTATCTCGTCGTTTTCTTTCTGCTAAAAGATGTTCTTGCGCCTGAGATGGTGTCCTAGTACCAGCCCTTTTGACAGGAAGTTGATATCTCATTGCAGCATATTGATCAGTTTCCTCTAAGCAAGATGGACAACCAGTGGAGAAGTTCAGAGGCAACATAGTTACCTTTGTATTAGGACTGAAACTTAGCTCTTCGTGGTGCTGATGGTCACCGGAATTTGGAGATTTGAGGTTCCCAAATGAAATCGTATTGGTAGGAGCAAGAGAAGAGGGTCTTTTGAAAGTTTCTTGGTCAGAAGTGGTGCAGAACCTTGAAATAGATGGTTTAAGAATGGTAGTTCGAGAAGTTCTATGAGGACCCGAGTTTGAAGGAGAGGATGAGCAGTACTTGAAGGAGGCAGGACTCGCAAACGAGAGGTAACAAGTATCAACTGATTGGCCAGTAGTTAACTTCATTTTGTTCATCGTATGCTCATCCAATTCCTATTGAAATATGGTGTTGAAATTCTGTTAATAATTGGTGGATTACAAATTCAAAAACCTCGACAAGATAAAGGAATTTGAGGGGATTTCAAATATTTCGTTAAATCACTCGATTTAAACACAGCTTAGAAAATGCAAAAATATATATATAAAAAAAAGATATTTCCCTCCGTAATCCAATAAGTCAAAACTCGAAAACTCACCGACTCGTTTCACAATTTTTCTGGTAATAGATCCATTGGAGAAATTATCAATTGGCCTTCTTGTAACAAGACCTGGAAGAAATTAGCCAAGATATAAATCTTGATAAAATTTGAAGTGGCGAACAATATCTAGCAAGAAGCAGAAGAATTTTCTTTAGATCTCAGTTCATGAAGACAGAAAATCTCGGTAAAGATGATGTGAAGAATTTTAGGCATAAATCTAGTCAAATCGTCCAAAGTTTGAAACAGATATCCTCTAGTACTGTAGAATGAAACAGAAAGCTGAAGATCAAAAGATATGCTGCCATATTCATCTGATTAAGACGTGTGATAATCTAGTTGATGATTGTATGAAGGACAACCGAAATGAATATGGTTGGTGGCAAGGGTTTCTGTCTTACCAGAGCTAGGAGAAAAGTAAGAGCTGATTTTGCGACAACTTTTTGCGATAACTTCTTCGAAGGGGGCTGGTAAGGAATACTTTCTGATTTTTATGGCATTGCAACTTCCATCAAAACCATTGAGAGAACGAGAGAGCTTCAATTATTAAACAGTTGCCAAGTCGCCTTCAGATGATGGTGAAGGGAGAAAAACAGCATTGTTGGAACGTGTGAAAATGATCAAACTGCTTTGACTTCTCCTCCCCCCCACCCCTCAAGAATGGGGCAGGTGCAATTGTGCTGTTGCGTCTGGTTATCCTGTCTATTGCATTAGTTTGTTTACAGTTATATTGTTATGGTGTTTGTACGAGATTCTTTTTTTTTTATTATTATTTTTTTCCAGTAGGGGGAAGGACGGAATTAAAAAGTCGGGGAAGATAGAGGAATCAAAACCAAAAACTTCTAATTTTTGAGACCTCACAAAAATTCATTAGTAGACAAAAAATTCAATGTTTGACTAACAATGATGTAATTGAGTGTAATCTTTGTCAAAAATACCTTGATGCTATTACGTACTTTTAACAAATAAAGTTTAGGTAAATCAAATCTTTTTTTTAACACTCTGTAAGGAATCACATATGGATTAACAACCACCTTAATCAGCCTTTTTCTTTTCTTCCCATTAATTTTATATTTTTGTTTTCTCTTTGTCTTTAATCTGTTATCCCAAGCTTTGTTTGTTTTCAAGTTTCATTTTCGTTAATAAAAGTTTATATCTATTAACACCCCAACACATAGACACACATACAATGAGTATTTTACTTGATAAATATATATTTTACGTATATTTTATTAGTTAGTTTTTGTATGTTTTAACTACTTTTATAATTAATTAACTAGGATTCGAGTGAAAATATGCACATACAATTAATGAGCTAGGTTGTATTTTTACTCACAGTCATAGCATTCTTTTTCCATAAAATCCGTCTCTTTTTTTTTTTTATACTTCATGGGTGTTAAGAATTATAGGTTTCCTGTGAAAATGTCTTTCCTTTAAAAATAGTGTTGCTTTGCTCCTACTAAAATGTCTTTCCTTAAAAGATAGTGATGTTTAATTATCATTGGAGCAGATGTTCTTCTTGTTTGGCACCAAAAGACCAACAAAAAACTATTATATTCCTCCATCTCTGTGTCGTATTCTTTGATCATCTTCTTTTCGATTCTCCAATCACATGTGCTTTTTAACAATCAAACGGTAGCTTTTTGAACAAATCCCAATGCTTTTGGGGTGAACTTTTGCTTTTAACAATTTAGGCTATCTAAAGAAATGTGAAGATCTCCTTAACCATTAAAATGAGGACAATCCATTGACCAATAATTGATATCTATTGGCTTTTGTCCACAAGAAGGATGCTGAAGCTAGTTTTTCTTCTTGAGATCAACAAGTTATGCTATTCATGCCATGAAAGTATTAGTCATCTTAAAAGCATTGCAATTGAAATTCAAAACAGATCTGGTTCTTGACAATGTTAGAAGGCATGGTTTGGTGCATTTTAACTACTTTTTATCTATAAATATATATATATATATATATATATATATATATATATATATATATATATATGCACGTGCACGACACGTGCAATTTGAGATGAATTCCAACATCTTAAAGTAAAAAGAGTCATATGAGATTATTAAACTTACAAACTAATTATGAGGAATTCTCATTCTCTAAATGGAAAATGTTAACTTGCATATATATCTTGCCTTTATCACGGAGAATCTTTTTATTGAACTTTCATGCACTTTTCTCACTTGTTTTAGATTTTTGTGATATGCATTCTAGTTGTGCAAAAGATAATAGGAAAAAGCATGTATTCTTTATAGTTTCTCAATTAATTGCTATTTTTTACACCTAATCTCTTTTTAATTTTTCGGACTATTACGAAAAAGAAATACGAGAAGTTTCATCGTTGTAAGCTGACAATAAGAAGTATGCAAGGTGACAATAAGCAATGTTTTTAAACTCGGACTGGCCAGCGAACCGGAGAGGGGTCCGGTTCATAGTCCGACCGGTCCAACCGGTTCAACGGTTTTTTTTTTTTTGCAACTTTAATACTGAGTACTTCCCAAGTCTTCACTCTATAGTCTACACTGAAACTTGACTGCTAATGTACAATTTAACATGATTATTAATAATTTAAGTCCCTAAAATACATTCATCAATATAACTTAAAATTAAATTTAAGTTGAGATAATAATAAATTTTTTAAAAGTTATACATAAAACCTGGAATGGTAAATATAACTAAAATATCATAATTCATCACAAATTTTCATAATTCATTACAAATATAAATAGATATAGTCCAAATGTTCATCAATTATCACAAACAAAAACACAAAAATAAATAAAATAAATGTTGACGTTATTCCACAATTCTAAAAAAGTTCATAGAAAAGTCCAACTCATAGTCAAGGCAAATAATTTGAATAACAAACTTCCATCATTGGCATGACAAGGCAACAACACCCACTTCACAATTTCATCAATTTAACCTGAAAAAATTTAAAAGTTTATTACAAAAAATATAAATCTAATTGGTGAAACTAAAAAAAAAAGCCAGAAAATTTTGAAAAATAAAGATACAACCAAACAAAAAAAGAATCAATTGCTACTAAACATCACTAATTAACATGTTATATTCCAATCATTATCTTCATCACTATCCAAAAGATGCCTACGCTGAAATGCTTCCAAGTCAATATGATTATCTTCCCCAACTTGACTTTCATCATCTAAATAAATAAATAAAGCAACAATTACGGATTTATCCATATTTATAATAAAATTCAAATTAAAAAAAATACACTTTTAGCACTTCATATTACAAGTTAAAAATATATTTATTTTAATATTAAAACCAACCTTCAACTAGTTGAGAATCATCTCCTACTAATAGACAAACTAATATTACTTATAGCACCAAGACAAAACAACAAGGACAAACTTATATCTTCAAATAATTTACTTGCGTTGCATCCTTTATTTCCTCAAGTATACTCGACTAGAAGAACCAATTTAGACAAATATACATCTCTTACTTTATTTTTATTTATTTCCCTATCAGTTGGTGAAACAAACTATTTTGGATATAATTAAAATGGTTAATCAAAAACATCTTATTGCACATTTCAAATTATTGTCTAGTAAGCATTCCATCGTAGTACGAGAGTAAAGCAAATGAACAATGTAGTACTAGATATTTTCCAATTCCTATTATTCCTGTTCCACCATTCAAACGAAAAATACTTTGTTGTTAGGCATGATCCTTTTGGTTATCTTTAGGCAAGATTTTTTATTTAACTATAAATTAAATCAGGACATGTACACAAGTTACGGCAAATATTTATGGACGGAACAAATGTCATGATGTATTGTCACAAAAACTAAATAAGTGCTCTAATCTCTACATAGATAACAAAAATCAAGAAAAGGCAAAAATCAACTAAACATAATATAGAAAACAAAAATCAAGAAAAGGCAAAAATTAAACTCACAAGATGGAAACGCTCTGGAGTCTTGTCTAAAGATAATAGTGTGATGATCATGTCGTGGGTATTAGGAAGTGGAAGGAATATGAAGAAAAATTAAGAAAAAAAATCAAGAGGAGAACTGGAGATTGGAGAATCTGAGGGGCGGAGGAAGTGAAGCCGAGGCAACTGAAATGAAGTGTGCCGTCTGCACTTTGCTAGGTCTTTTAGGGTTTTTTTTATTTAATCTGATTTTAGTTTTTTAGATAAGTCAAGTAACATTCTACATGTCCTCTGGCTGTGGTTTAGCGGTAAGTGCACCTTATTATGGTCATGGAGACCAGAGTTCGAACGTAGCAGCTTCCACTTTTATTGTTTTGAATTTGAGGCATATTTGAAAATTTTGTTTTGAATTTGAGGCATATTTGAAAATTTGAGAACTTTTATTGTTTTGAATTTGAGGGATATTTGAAAATTTGAGAACCGCCAGTTTGCGGTTTAGACGGATTTTAACAGTTCGTCCAGTTCGGTGTGGTTTTACATTAGGCTTTGGGTTTGAT